TGAGTAACAAGCGGCCAAAAAGAATGGAGCAAAAGTCTGCTCGAGGACAAAGGAATGACAATTGTCCCGGCTGCTTGGTGTTCCGTCCTGGACGGCACGAACAAGTCTTGTCAGAAATCAACTCAGGGTAGTATCGTCGACGGTCCAATAGTTCTGTGCAGAGCCATGCCAAGTCAGAACCCCAGGCCATCCAGACAAAACCTAGTCCATCCAATCACCTGAAGCAGAGTTCAGTCCCGTCACCAGGTCACAATAAAGTGACAAGTGATATACCAACTTTAGACAGACTTGGTGTCATTGTCATCACACACACACACACACACACCAGCTCCGCTCGTGCGCAAAGGCAGAAACAAGAAGGAGATGGGTAACGCTATCACATCCTGACGTGCTTCGTCGAGGCGAGCCAGAGTGCGATTTCGAGTCATGATGGTGCCGTTCGCTTTCTTGCTCTGCATCGAGAAATGTAGCCGAACGGCCCTGGCCGTATTGTCCCGTCCTCCCCTCTTGGCAGGTTTGAAGTTTCCAGTTTATTGCATGTACGTGCATACGAGTGGGCATGGCGTTCGATGTGTGCCTCTCGCAAGATCCATGTCGACGATCGCGCTGCGAGATCCGCGGCTGTGCATCGCCTCAAAGAGATGGGACGGTTTCGATGTGGTGCTTGTAGGATGGATGGCCTGTGTGTGTGCCCGCCAGGCTTTAACTTCAGCCGAGCGAGATAACCGATAGCGATGACGCCGATGGTGCAGTCGCCTTCTTACCAGCTACCCGGACAGTAGTCCAGGAGGGAGGCCGAGCCATCTCGTCAGCCGACATGGCATGCATGAAGGATCCTTCGTGTTGTGCGGACACTTGGTTCAGAACACGGGGGACGCGAGGCGGGGTGCCGGTCGTGGCACAGCGTCTTGGCTTCCTGTCTCCTGTCTCCTGTCTCCTCTTGCACCTTTTTTTTCCCTTTCTTTCTCGTTGTTGCTTGAAAATCTCTCAGCTGGCGTGGATATGCACATTGGTCTCGTCACAATCTCCAAGAGATGAATGAATGAACGGAGGGACAGGGTGCATCTGCAGACCTCGGAGGTCTGGCACTAGAGTTGTGCGAGTTCAGGCGAGACGAGTCAGAGAGTAAGTCGTCGGTCAGCTCTGTAGGTCAGCTCTGGACGAACTCTCGCAACCTACAAAACCATTCTCGACACGCCCATGAGCGCTGCCTTGCCGGAGAAGATGCTCCTCGTCGAGACGCGCCGTTTCGCTCTGTCTGGCTTTATCGATCAAAAAGACCCTGAATTGGGAATAGGCCAGTCCAGCCCAGCCCAGCGTTCGTCGCGTTTCTTTGAACCGATGGAGGAGAATGGGAGGGCCTCGTGACAGTGAGCCGCTTGACGCAACAAGGTCCAGGTACAGTACTGTAGCGGCAGGGTTAGCAGTCCTTGTGTCAACGGACGGGTTTCTTGTTGCAAATGCTCCGACGCGATTGGGGTGGGAAGACTCGAGGTGTCTGTTCAACAGGGGTGTTAGCGCAGCCACGGTAGGCTAATCACGATCCGACCAACGATGGAAGAGTCGGGTCCCCGCGATGAACCGTGTCAAGCTGGGAGAACTGGGATGGACGAGGTTGTCAGAGCGAGTAAGGGTGGTGCACTGGCTTGGCTGGCTTGACTGGATCTCCGTCCCACTCCCCCCCCCCTCTCTCTCTCCCCTCATCGCGCTACGGAGGAAACAGCGACGGCCCAGCCCGCACACCGGATAAGCCAATGCATATCGCTGAAAGAGGGACCACTGTCAGGCCTATGCATTTAGAGGCAGCGCGTCTCGCGACCACAACTCCATCTCCCTCTCCCCCATTCTCCATCGCCTTTCTTCCGCGTTCGCGACTGACCAGCGTTCGAGTCCCACCTCCTGCCATCCTGTAAGCTCTGCGCTCCTCAACTCGGTTCGTACCCTTTCCCGCCTTCTCCCCCCCCCTTTTCTCTCTTTTCCCCGAACTGCCATCCTTCCCCTATGGCCCCTCTTGTTTTTCTTTTATCTCAGGTGGTGAGTCCACTGCTGACTCGATCTCGGCTGCCCATAGGTATCCGATGCTCGCTGCAGGCCCCCCAGTAGCCATGGCCAACGATTCGGGACCACCGGCCACGCCCTCCTCCTCCACATCCTCCTCGTCCTCCCTCTCCCCCTCCACGACGCCCTCCGTGGCGCGCCCCTCACCGGTCCACATCGACAATGGACCCTTCTCTCCAAGGGGACTGAAACAGCTCGGGTTGTTCTTTGCGGGCGCAAGCTTCCTCGTCTGCTCGACCCTCATCACGAAACGTGCCGTCACCCGCAAGAAGCTCGCTGCCTTGCCCAAGTTCTACCAACCCAGCCACGCCGCCGCTGGGAAGCAGGAAAACCCCGAGGGCTCCCTGATTGCGCTGGAGGCCCTCAACCTCGCGACCCTCAACGTCTTTAGCTTCGCCGTCATGGCCACGGGCGGCGTTGCCTGGGCCTTTGACGTGTCCTCTGTCGATGACTTGCGAGAAAAGGCGCGGCGGACCATCAGAGGCGAGGCAGGCAAGACGGACGAGGCTGCCGAGCGCGAGTTTGAGGAATGGGCAACCCGTGTGCTGACGAAGCTCGGCCAGACCCCAGCAGCAGAAGAGAACAGCAGCCAGGGCAAGCCGAGCGCATCAGAAAAGAAAGACTGAGAACGGTGGCGAGGCCGCCAGCGAGCAGAAACGGAACAATCAATACCCCTCCTTCATGTCCTTTTGCGTTTCGCAGTCCCCGCACACTCATACGCATACACACACACACACACACACACACACACCACACAAAACAGGAGAAGTGACGAGCTTTGTACATGCATGAAAACCAACACATATTGATGCGGAATAAACACAGCCCAGGACACGAGTGGATTGGCGAGGATGACATCTCTGTATAACAAACAAAAAAGAACAACCCATGTATTGAAGCCACCATCGGCCACCAGGCTCTCAGTGTTCAGCCTCACCCAACGTTCATGCGCCCAGAGGTGAGCCTGGCCCACTGGCTCCAAAAACAGGACTACGTGCGTGTGCCGCCAGATCAAGTCCAGGGATCAGAATCCAGGAAACCAACACGTCGGTCGAGCCGCCAACCGGATCTCTACAGACCCGTTGAATCGGGACAGGCACAGGAACAAAAAGAGACGTACATATCTAAGAGCAACCCGGTTCTCCAGCGATCCGATGGACATTGTCCATCCGATGGTTTTCGGACGCTAGCCATGCGCTGGTGTGTGTGTCTCTCTCTGCTGCAGGCCTCCTCGGACACCACACCACCCCCCCCCTTACCCTGTCTCCTCCGGGGCCCTGGTCTTTTCCTGGTCCAGATTGAGGATCGTGCTTATCTCCGTTGCAGGGGCCGCTTGGGTTGATGGCCGAACCGGCACGCAGAAACACATCACTGCTGCTTGGTCCTCTCTCTTTCTCTGCACTCTGCACCCCCTTCCCCTTCCCCCACCAGTGGCTGTTTGCTCTAGCCAATGTCTGCCGCAGCTTGACGGCATTTTTCACAGCGACTGGCGTTCTGCGCCAGCCAACGGCGTCACCTTTCCGCCTTGGGGCGTACCCCTTGCCATGATGCGTGTGTGTGTGTACACATGTACAGTATGCCCGTTGCTTTTTTGCTCCGACTGGCTGCCACCAGCCCAGTACGAAAACAGACGGGCATGCTTCCCCGGGGCAGCCTGCTGTCACCCCTTTACATGGGGGCAAGACGGGAGAGCGCCCCCCTCGACGGGTGCCTTAATGTGGCTGCCGTCATCAGTGCCTCTCGTTTCTAAGCTGCACATGCCTCCCCAGGCCGGTTTCCAGCCTCACAGGCCCTGACACAGTATCAGGGTTTTCCAGGCCGAGACATGGCCTACAGGTACAAGGAGCCAGTCACCTGGCGGACTCGTCATGGGGAGGGACGAAAGGGGTGAAAAGCGTACATGTACTGCGTCTGCAAGTTGACCTGTCCGAAAGAGAAAGATACACTCGGGCTGAACTCATGACGCACGACCGGGGTCGTAAACACAGGGTCCCAAACACGACAGCTCACTGTCGACAGCAGCGCCACTCTTGTCCTGCATCGCCCTGGACGATCGCCAAGCTAATGTGGCTAGGGGAGCGGGAGTCTGTCCGCTGGCCCTTGATCAGTAGCGCTGTCTGGGCATACAGGGGACATGGTCATGATGGTCATGATGGGTACCTCTCGCTTCCACCACCTCCTTCTTTCCCCCCCTCTCTTCTAGCAGCTGGCTCTCGGTTCCAGCCCTGGCGAGGCGAGGATGGGTGGAGGTCAAGGCGCAACCATCACTTCCAACAGTTCCAGTCCAGGGTCGAATATCCTGGTCCAACCTGGCGGGGCCGCCCATTGATGAGAACGCTTTCGTCTCGCCCATAAAGCGAGAGTGACTTGCTTCTTGCCCACGACTACATGGTACCACACGAGGAGCCGCTCAACTTCATTGGCGAGCTGGAGTTTCATTACACCTCCGTGTTCATCCAGCGTTACTGATCCTTTCTCATCCTATCCCCATCCCATCGTTGATCTATTCACCCTGCTTATATGAACCCCTTCCTCGTCTCCTCCTTCCCTTGCTTCCCATCTGTCCAAGTGATAACACTCCTCGACTCTCTTTCTCTGAGCGAACCAACGCGCGGGAAGCCTTGTTTCGCCTGGACCATATTCCCTTTCTTTTACCGTCATGAACACTCTTCACGGGATCCTGGCCCATGAAGGCCAGTCCCCTGACGGCATCGTCTACCACCGTGGCGATCAGGTCACCATCTTCGATGACGGTCGCAACGACAGCTGCAACAACGAGGTGCACGTCTTGAACCACCAGACCAACCAGGCCATTGTCGTGCCTGTCTCGGCCGTCTGCTGGGTGCCGACACACAGCGAAAGCCGCCCGGCCGGCGTGACGCTGTTCACGATATATGGACGTCGCATCACCCACCATCAACCCGGCGACCCGATGCCTTCTCTCGCCAACCGAGCCATCAAGGTCCTGCTCGGCTCAGGCCACCAAGTCACACACACCATCGTTACCGAAGACGACATTTCGACGTGGGCTCAGCGCCTGGAGGAGCCTGAGCGACAAGCCTTTTTCACATATCAGTGGAACAGTTTGCTCTCCGACTGGCCTGCCCGAGACATGAACGACCTCCTCTCGGCTTGGCCATGCCCAGATTCAGATGGTCTCTCCGAGGCTGGCCTCTCCATGGGGACTACCAACTCGTGCATCAGTAGCCCGACCACGCCCGCATTGAGTATTGACCAGATTGGAGGCCCGAGGCGTGATTCTGCCGTCGATGTTGGCTGTTCATCTCACAACAAGGACGCCCAGGATCCAATGTGCTTCCCTGGCGACGAGTACTCCCGCGGCGTGAGTAGCCCTCATCTCAGAGTCAACTATCTGCGGGCGCGCGTACTAATTCGTCCCAGCTCAACCCCTACCTTGTCTCATCTGAGCCCGGCTCCCCGACACGTTATGATGCCATCCCCCTCCCAACCTTTGCAGAGCAGCAGAGCGTGAACAAGCACGCTGCTCAAGCCGTGTCCGTGACAACCCACCCTACAGCCACGATGGGTGGTCGACCCAGCGCCGCCTTCATGGCGAGTTCGTACCTCGGTCCCAACGGAGGCCAAATGGGGTATACCGCCGCCAATAACAAATCCATCCCCGTCGTCTGTCAGAGCGCGGCAACCGACTTTCAAGTTCACTACATGTATCTTCCCAGCTCCGACGACTCTGAGCACACGGGCATAAACCACCCGCAGCAGCGTTACGAAGCAGCCAACAATGATGCTTCGTGGTCTCAACAAGCCGCCACAGAGTGGCCATCGTACCAGTCAGCGGAGGTGTACCAAGGCGTGCAGTCTTCAGATCAGTCTACAATGCCTCCTCCCGTCAACCAAGAGACTGTCCCACGAGCACACATGACGCCGATGCCTCTTCCTACACTGTCAGAAAACGGTCACTACATGACCACTAGCCACTACGAGCCTGTTCCCATCCAGCGCTTCGATGACAGACGTGCCGAAACCTTCGGCGCGTACAGCATGGCGAGCAACACACCTGCCTTCCACCGAACACAAGAGCGCCAGACCGTCGGCCTGACAGCTCCCCCCCAGCCTCCCAATGCCACCGTCTGGGCTCAGCAACAATCGTCCCGGCCCGGCAACGGCAGGACGCCCGTTCCTCAGGCTGCGCCTGTCAACTTCCGCCGGTCCCCGAGCCAGCAGTCCTCTGCTCCAGCTTTCCGACCGGAGCTCATCGTCGACTTTTTCACGCGGCAGACACAGCCTCACATTGATGTCCTCGACGTGCGTCAGCGCGAGCAGCAGGACGAGGTCCTGTCCCCTGAGCAGTCTGCATCTCCTTCCGTCTCAGAGTCCCTCGAGGTGATCCGAACTGCCACGGCGGAGACGCTGCGGGTTCTCGGTACGCTTCGGCCCGGTTCGATGCCTTCTTTCAATCTCACGGAGCAGAGGCTCCGCGGTGAGGTCGAGAAGATCATCGCCTCCGTGCAGAGCATCCGCCAGACCGCCCTCGCTGGCAACGGACTGCCCCAACAAGACCGAAGGACACTGAACCAGCAGGTGCAGAGCTTGGCCGGTTACATCGAGTACCTCGGCGAGGTCTTCCCTGACATGGTAGAGCCTGCCAAGGCCTCCGAACCAGCGACCAGCGCCACCCAGACACAACCGTCTGCGCCGTCCTCGTCGTCGGCGCAGCGCCCAAGCACTGTAGCGCCGCAGACCGCCCACCCTGCGAACGGCATGGCCATCAACCGTGAGCATCAGAGACTGCTGCGCCAGCTCGCCGAAGATGTGGTGCCGTCGCAGCCCAGGATGATGAACCCCAATGTGGCTCCGGCACCTTCCGCACCTCAGCCCGTGGTCATGATGCCGGGCCAAGACATGATGCCGGCGTCGTCTGGAGGTCCATCTCCGATCGACTTCCACCAGCCCAACTGGGCAGACGCCTCCGTGCCGACGATCGTGGACCCCGCCATGACTGCGGCCTACCCCGCCGTCCAGTCCATCTCGGCGCACTCCTCGCCGTACCTGGGTCCGGCTGCCGACCCCAACCCCCGCGGCCACTACCTGCTCCCCGGGTCGGTCGCCATGGCCACGACTGCCTCAGCCCCGGGCATCGTGTCGACGACGTCCGCCCCTTCCCCTCTGCGCCCTTCGCCTCGCGGCCGCCTCCCCGTCGTCCTGTCTCCCATGCCCATGCCCGTGGCCTCGTTCGATCGCCGGTCCTCCCTACCCGGCCGCCGCGTCGCCCAGCCTCCCCGGGAGAGGGAACGCTACCGCGCGGCCCCATACCCGCAGTCCTACCGCGGCACGAGCGACCGTAAGGGTTCCATCTGAGCCTGCCACAAGTACTCGCTTGGCTAGCTGCATGATATCGTCGCGTCCCTTTTTCCTTTCTTCATATCTCTCTGTACTATCAATCGCTAGGGGGCGTGGCACATTTGCATCTTTTGCTGTTCATCTGGCATTTTTATACCCTCTCCCGCCCCCCCGCAAAACAAAAAACACACGAAACGAACGAACCGTCAACAACGGCGCAGTCTGTCCGCGTCGTCTGTTCTTCTGATTCTCTCATGTGGTTCCTTTCTATATGATTATGACCCTGGCGCACGCACGTTGTGCACTCCAACCGATCGATTGGAAAGCAAAGGGACTATGGGAAAGGCTGTCTGACCAAAAAGAAAAAAAAAAGCAAACACACGAAGCGTACAACAAAACAAAACGCGCATCTCCCATGTTCAACGTTTCATCTCTAACGCAAGGGACCGGTGGCTGGCTTCTTTCTTTCTGGATTGTTCTTCGACGTGTTACACTCTGTCGCAGGGACCCGGTCGAGCATTGTTAGCTCCCGAGCAGAACTACAGAATGCCGGGCTTTTCTTTGATCTTTTTGAATTCAGTGTGTACAGCGAGGAGCGATTGGGGTTTCCAAGTCAGTTATCTGCTTTTTTTTATTTATTTATTTTGGCTTCATGTCGACCCTTCTTTGGGTATGTGGATGGATGGATCATTATGCTTAACGCGGCTCTGTTGGGCCAGTTTCTCCTTTTTCTTAATGTACGCTCGTAATGCGGCGCGGAGGTGATGACGGACTACCAAAAAAAGGGGTGCAGAGAGGAATGACGACAGTCTCGTCTCGAGGGGGTTGTTGTTTCTCCCCGTTCTCGCCAAGGCACCTTGACACGTGTCGGACGGCAAGGACAAAAAAACGATTATATACACACATACAACCAATATAAAAGAATATCGGGTATCAAGAAGAGGTTGAATCTCCATGTCTGGTGACTATGCTTTGGCTTCAAGGGAGTTATGCTACGTTTTGTTGTGATGAAATACGAAAAAACAAAAACCTCCGTCGGATGAGCCCGCTGTGCATAGCTTCGTCTCCCCCGGACGTTATCCAACACGCCTTTTAGATTAGGGTCCCTTGCTCAATGTGGATCTGAGCCCTCCTCTCGCCGTCGTCTCGGGCCCGAGACGCTGCTTTTCTGTTTGTCCCGTCCCCGCAGCCGCCTTTGCGCCGGTCACTCCCTTGGAACCTGTCCATAGCATGATGCTAGAGCATGGCGATCAAACTCTGATGGCGCCGGCCTCCATCGCAACACGCCGGAGCACGACCACCCCCTCATGACCCCCCCGACGAGTCCTCCGCATAATCGTCAACAAGGTCCTGCATCTCCGGGTCGTGGCCCCTCGCGCGCTGCCGCAGCCGACCCTCGAGCCCAACGTCATCCTCGAAGCTGCCCCTGCGGCCCCAGTTCCGCGGCTGCCTCTTGAGGAAGGCGCCGACGGCGCCGAGGTAGCCCTCGTGGCGGAGAAAGTAGGCCTGCTTGGCGCCCTGGGACCAGAACTTGATGGCGTAGGAGAGCGTGTTGATGGTCTGCCGGTGGCCGCGGATGAAGGAGCCGCCAAAGTATATGTGCGAGAGGTTGTGGATCTGGGACTGCAGGTAGGCGATCTGGCCAATGTTGTTGGAGATGGCGTACAGGAGCGAGCGCGAGATGTCGCCGCCCGAAAACGGCGCCGCGTGGGCGGCGTCGTGCTCGGCGTCGAGCGGGTGGCGGGCCGCGTCGCTGGCGGCGGCCGACGAGTCGCCGTTGTGCAGGCCGCCGTGGTCCTCGGCCTCGTGTTCGGCCTCGCGCTTCATGCGGAAGACCTTGCCAAAGGAGGAGGCGATGGTCGTGCTCTTGAGGCCGATCTTGCCGTAGTCGGTGCCGTAGATGTCGCCGACGAGCATGTCGACCTTGGAGTTGTCGCCGCGCTCGGCGGCGTCGAGCATGTCGTCGAAGGAGCGGGCGCCCGTCAGCAGGGAGAGGAGGCCCCAGAGAGTACCGCCGCCGAGTGAGGTGCCGCCGACGCGCTGGTACTGGCGGGGGCCCGAGACCTTGAGCATGGAGACGCCGGAGCCAATGTTGACGAGCAGGTAGGGGTAGATGTCGTCGGAGGGCGAGGCAAAGTGCATGGGGTCCGTCTCGCTGTAGGTGAAGACTTCGCGGGGAATTTCGGTGATGAAGAAGTCGAGGCCAATAATGAGGCACTCCATCTCGTCCTCGCGCAGGACATCGACGCCTAGGACATGCCTGATCTTGTCGTAGAACTTGAAGGCGCCACCGCCCGTGGCCATGACGCTGAGGGCGCCAGGTTGTGATCCATTGAGTGTCTGCTGCTTGTCCTTGAGGTGGCGCATGAATTCTATGCAGTCGTCTATGCGGTCGGTTTCAAAGTTGAGGAAGTTGAGGCGGCCGCCGGGCTCTTTCGAGTGGGCCTCACGAGAGAAGTAGACGAGCTTGATGAGGGAGCCGCCGATCTGGACACCACCGTGCGGGTCAGCTCTTTGTTCCGTCATTGTGTGCGTGTTCTCATGACCGGGCAGTGGGACGAGGGGGGCAGCGCACGGCAGCGGCGCGAGGCCTGGGTTCGGAGCCGAGGCTGCCGCAGCCGAGGGGCAATGGAGGAAGGGAAAGGGGACGGGAGGGTATTCTTTCATACGTCGACAGCAATATGGCTCACGACAGCCGTGTGGTTTGGCAGACGAATGTCGCTCGTTTCGTGATGTGTGGGAGATATCCTGCCAGTGGCCGCGGCGGCGGCAGGGTCTTTCGGGGAGCTCGAGTCTGGGTCGACGATGAAGGCGCCCTTGACGTTGATGCGCACCGAACCCGGGCGGATGATGGTGCTGTCGATCTCTTCGGTTGTCGTCATTGTCCTGGGCCTGCCCGTAACAGGTGCTTCTGTCGTTGACATCTGTGTGGCCTGGTGCTGGTCTGGCGCGACGTCCTCTATGGCAGAGCCGTCATCGACAATGACGGGCGACATGGTGGTGATGGCTCGTGTTACAGCGGCTGCCGGCGGTGGCCTGCTGCTTGCCGAGTCGCGTGTGTGGAGGGGGTCGGCGCGAAGGCTCGTGATGGCAAGCTGTCGGTGCCGAGCATCAATCAATTGATGGTGGTCGAGGCTGTGATTCTCGTGATGAAGGCGGGAGAGACACTACTTGAGCAGCAGCGGCACGTGGTATGGGCATGAGCATGAGCATGAGCATGAGCATGGAGAGGGTCGAGGTGTTTCGGGCATCTCGTCTCTGATCGCAATGAACTCAACAAAGCAGCAGGAGGAGGGGCTGAGCCGGGCACCTCTGTCGAATCCAAGCTCTCACCTCCCACTTTTTTCTTGACTCTTTTAGGGGTTTTCGGCCGGAGCCTTTGCCAATGTGGGGGAGCCTGCGCCTGGCAAGCCTGGGCCAGATACCGAAGTTGCGATAAGCCGCAGGTTGCAGCAGGTACTTTTGCGCCTCGGTCCAGGGGAACGCGGGGCATGTCTTCTCGGCTGAGCCTGGCTCTCAGGTACCTGCCGTCAGGTACCGATTCGCCAAACGTTTTGCTCGCCCGCCCCCGACAGGTCCCTGTCCCCCAGCCCTTCGCCCGTACCGAGGTACCATGTAGATCTGGCACGTCGGAATAACACGACGGTAGCATTCTGTCATGGAGAAACCATCCGTGAGCATCTCCCTGGAGACCTTGCAGACCTTGCAGAGCTTAGCTCCATACGACTGACTGGCTCAAAGGGAAGACAACGTGGGAGACCCAAACATCGAAACCCATCATCATACTCCACAGCCAACACTTTCCAGCTGCGCCATGCAGGATCACTACGCTCCAGATTTCGTGTCATGAGTGATTCGTCGTTTCCATGCACTTCAAGCAGGTCCTTGCACTCGAACCATGTCCTTGCACTCAAGCAGGTCCTTGCACTCGAACAGGACCTTGCACTCAAGCAGGACCTCAATACATCCAGGCCCCGCCCATTGAGCACCCAACAGACCCATGCCTCGGCACCCGCCACCCGCATCGACTCGCCCGCGGGAGGCCCGGGCTGATCATCTAACCTGTGTCATGTCCGTGGCAGTCGGCACTTGTTCCGCGCGGACCGGAACATCCTCAAATCACTGATCGGCTCATTCGATGAACTTTCCGGCGGCAACCCCCTCGAAACCCTCGGCCATGACTGACGACTGCCTTCACGTCACACGAGCGGGGGCGTCGATGGCAACAATATGTATTATACATGTTTCATTGGTAACGAAAGGTGGCCCAGATTGCAGCTTCCCGTGAAATGGACCAGATGGTCAGGCAATTGGCCATCGATCCTTCACGCGCAAAACTCCGAGCCTCCGAGCTAAAGTGGTATCCTGTAGAAAGAAACAAAGAAAATAGAATCCTGGGTAGATATACAGAAGCGACGTTTCCAACAGTTTTCGTTTACATCAGTTTCCCCCCCGGCACAGCAACAAAAATGGCCGTCAAGACACCGGCCGCCAGTAGCGCGCACAACATGGCCTGCACAAAAATGGTATCCTGGATCTGGCGCAGCGCTGGCTCCTGGATCCAAACTTCGCGGTCAAACACCTTGCGCACAGTGTTGCGCTTCTCGTACTTGACAACCCACGGCTCCGTCTCGTAGCTGTTGCCTGAACCAAACGACTCAAAGCTCGTCTTGGAGAGGTCGCACTCGCCCTCGTTGTCGATGAACAGTTCCCAGGGCCTGACGTGTCGGTGGTGCATGCCGTGAAGCACCACGCACATGCCCTTCCACGCTGCCACCAACGTTGAGACGCCGAGAACAAAGCCAACGGCGGGAATGGCACGGTAGCCGCGTGGCGCACTGCTGAGGGTCAGGATGATGGCTGCTACGAGAGAAGCTGCGATGAGGAAGACGCCCAAGAATCGTGCGAAGAAGACACGAGCCGGGTTGCCATTGCAGATGGACCAACGGATGAAGTTGGGATGAGCCTGGTGGCGGAGCGAGTGGTCGATCGACTTGAAGATGATTCGCAGCGCGCTAGGGTGCGTTGTGTAAGCCAGGCCGTGCAGGACGGCATTGCGCTCTCGGTCAGAGACATTCAGCTGTCGCGGGGCACCTTCCATAATATAAGTGGCGACGATACGGTCAATCTCCTCGCGGAAGGGCTGAATGGTGACTAAGTACATCGTCAGAATCGACTTGTCGATGCCGTAGTAGACATGAGTGTCAGAGGTCCCCCAAAGTCACTTACATGGCTGCTTCGCACCAGCGTTGGCAAACGCCTCGGTGGCCTGCGAACGGAATGTACCGACGACGGACATGCCTTGAGATGAGCTGAAGAGCGAGTCGACGTCGTTCTGTCCGGCTGGTGTGCGCGGAGGGGTGGAGAACGGGTTGGGCTCGGCAGCATGAGGGTTGGGAGGGCCGTTTGCCTTCTTTTCGAAGTCGGTGCCCTTGAATATCTCGTGGCCAGGCTTGGCCTGACGGAAGGCACCAGCCTTTTCCTTGCGTAAATTGGCAATGGTCTCATCTTCCATCTCTTGCGTCCATTCCGGTGCGAGAGCGAGCTCCGACGGCTTGGCGTTGGCGAAACGCTTCTCATAATCCTTGATCCAGAGAAAGAACTGAAGGTTCTCGGCCGAGTGTTCGATGTAAATTAAATAGTTCATAAAGTCTCTCACAGTGCATGGCTGTCTCCCGCATTAGTTTCCCGATGGACGACTGCTCTGCTACCCAGAAGCGGGGGATGACTTACAGGACAAGTGCCGCCATTGATGATCCTGTCGAACGCGAGCGACTCAGGGATGCCAGTCGTGCCAGACCTGCCAGAACGAAGGGAACTGTTGCTCTTCTCGTTGAGAGATGACGCGCTGTCCCGGAAGGAGCTGTCATCGACATATTGAGGGCGACGGTAAGTCAGCGAAAGGAGACCCATCTTGGCAGATAGCGGTCAGCGGTAGGCGTAGGTGAAGTGGTAAAGTATCCTTTATACTAGGGTTCTGTAACAAACGAAGGGTGGTTTGAAAGTAGGAAGAGCCTCGGCAGAAGATATTTCTTTAGGTTAGGGGGATGACGAGTTGATATAGAATAGGAGGGATGGGTATATCTAGAGTTTAATGAGTGGACGAAGTCGCCGGTCTAGTGGCCAAGAGGACGTCGTTCGGACCCTGAGTTGTTCTTGACTCGGGCTGGTTGTCCGAACGAACCAGACGGCAAGCGTAGGTGGGATGAGATACCTGAGCGCGAGGCGTCGAGGTTGGACTAGGGGGAAACGGGGTGAAAGGCTAACAGTGTGGTCGGCGTCGGAGGAACGTCAGGAAAAGGAAGGATTAGCAGAAGGTCGAGATGCAGGATGCAGGCGTAGCGGACTGTAGTAGATGGTCTGTGAAGGTGGCTGCGAGGAAGAAGTTGTAAGATATACCCCCAAAAGCCCAGACAGAGCAGAGCGGTGGTCGTCTTGAATCTGGCTTGGAGAGGGCTATTCAGGCCTGACTGGGGGTCCTTATGAGCGAGGGTCTCGACCGACGACCACCGGCCTGTTCCCCTGTCCCTCGTGCCTCGTGCCTCGATAGACATGGTACAGCTAGCTGTCTCGCCCAGTTTCTGAACGCAGGTGGCAACCACGAGCAGGCAGGCCGACCCGAGCGTGCGTTGTGGGTGGTGACACGGGGAGATTAAGCCACACCGTCAAGGCCCGCACTGGCGAGAACGAAGAAGGGGCGAGCCAACAGCCAGTAAGCAGCCTACTACAACTGGCTCCAAGCCAACATCGAGTTGGTAGTCATGCCGAGCAAAGAAAATCCAGGCGACTGTCTTGCAAATCGGGGCAAGCCAGCGAGGGCGGGCAGGGGGTGCTCCTAGCCAGGCTTGGCGACGAGATGGAGAGCGCACTGACAGGAAAGGGCATCAGCAAGCGACTGGATTGGATGCAGCTGAATGACGTCGCAAAAGCCAGCTCGAAGCTAGCACTGGTCCATCCTGGAAGGGGTTGGCTTCGGCCATTCGAAGGTCGACCTTTCTCCCAAGTGCAAAGGCAAAAGCCGCAACGAGGCAGGGCTAGCCAGACAGCCCAGCAGAGACACGCAGAGACACGAGACTCAGAGCCATGCACTGCTGTCTCTCTCCCGTGTCTTGCTAATGGGGCCTGGGCAAGAATTCGTAGTGTGGAAATTGGTCTGTGTTGATTTTGATGTGTCTTGTGTGCTGGCCACTGAAGAGGGGGGGCTTGATGATCTGCTCGCTGGCCTGCTCGCTGGCGTCGTGTCTGAGCTGCCCGCGAGGTTCACTATCCCCGGAGAACGGAAGCGAGGAGCAGGGGAGATCTTCAGCTACCACAAGATCGCTGATCTTCTCCAAGCTCCACCTCCCCCTCCCCCATCCCGTCCTCTGTGGTGGCTAGGACTCAACACCCCCCCAAGGCTTCATGACTGAAGAGGCTCGACACGGTTTGTCCTGATTGAGTCGCCAAGCCAGGCAACCCCGGAGGTGCAGGCAAAACAGATGAGATGAGAGAATTTAGACGGAACGGTTGACGCCTCTCGGAACGTGCTGCTTCAGGTTCTGTAGGCCATGACTGGCGCAAAGTGGCTGGCAAGATTGCATGGCTTGGGCTCCATATCTGGGATGGGAGGGCAGAAATCGCCGTCTAGCTTGATGAGCCATTGAGATCTGGCACGCCTCGTTCGCGTGAATGGAGGAAGGTAAGGCCTGGAGGCCCACCTACCTCGGGACACTCTTGACACTATGCCATGAGGTAGGTACCATGTACTTGGTAGCTTCTTGCCGTCTGAGAAGTAACCTGCTCACTGCGAAGGCAAGGTAGGTACGACGGGGAGGTCTTTCCGGCGTGTCTCCACGCACTTCTTCACGTCTTCATGGCGACATCGTCAATTGCGCAAAAGGTGGCCAATGTTCGCGACATCACCACTTCGTGTTCATCCGTAACGCTCAGCCTCCGTTGCTCGTTGCGGACTGTCCTGTTCCTTGCACACAAGGCAGCGGGAAACCCTGGAGCATACCCGCCCTGCCGCCTACACGGATTTGTGTCGACCCCTAGCACCTGTGCATTTCAGCACACCTTTACCTGCATTCGACC